ACCCGGCCGCAAACCTCCAAGACTTCAAATAACAAACCTCCGTAGCCCACAACACCGCCAACCCCTCCAAAATAGAAACTCCACTACTCCCAGCAGACATAAACATATCAATATAAGCCCTCGTCGTCCGATTCGCACAGAAGAAAATAGTCCCACACTGCTCACCACCACCCTGCACACCAACCTTTCCCCCAACATCCCCACCAACAGTAGCAGGCTCCACCCCCCGTCCAGACTCATTGAACTGCGGCCCAGGCGCACAAACCTCGCCCCCAGACGGCATCTGACACTCCCCCTGACTCAAACACAGACCGTGGCCAGGCGCGCTGGTTTTCTCATCACTGGACGTAAGACACGCGCCCCCACTGTCACTGCCATTCCCATTCCCATTCCCATTACCTAGAGGTCCTTCACCCTTGCCGCCCGTGAAACCGGGACAACTTGCCGAGCCGGTAGTGGAGATTCCAACGGAGGTAGTGATGTCCGAGCCCAGTCCGCAGGAAGTGAGTGTGCAGCCGCCTTCTTCAGCGGAGATAGCTGTTAGATCGAGGCCGTAGTCGTTTGCTGTTTTTTCGAAGAAGGCGAGTTCTGTGCGGATGTTGACGAGGGCGTCGATGAGCACGGTTATGGCATTTTGTTCCGGGGTTGCGAGGTGTGGGCCTGGTGATGTTGGGTTTTGGGTTGGGAGGCGGATCTTTGAGAGGAGGAGGCCGATGAAGCGGATGTAGGATTGAGCGTAGAGTCGGTCTTGCGAGAGCCATTGGCTTAGTATGGATTTTGGGAGGGTGCCGCGGCCGGCGGAGGCGAGGAAGGGGTGGGTTGTTGCACGTTTGAGTGCATTGGGGGTGCTTGATAGCAGGTAGGCCGTTAGGGGGCCTCGGCTTGTCATTTTGGTTTGGCCTTTTGAGGTGGTTGTTTGAGGTTGTTGGTGTTGTGAGGGGGAAGATCGGGGATCAAAATTGCGGGATGGGGCGATAGTGGGATGAACATGATATGTCGTCAGTGGGACATAACATCCCAGGTATATATCAATTCCATAGTCACTTCTTACAGTCGCATGTATACATTACTTAGAACTAGAACGAGTAAAGATCTAATATCAATTCAGCGGAGATTTCATTCAGCTTAGAACATAGGAAGCTAGAACTAGCCATACATCCCCCTTATTTTTTTAAAAAAAAAGATTTTCTCACATTTTGATCTCACGCATTCTGTTCAAATTGAAACCTCACTGAGCCCATTCATCCATTCAAGGGGATCCGACGAGGTATGTTCAAACGATTCTCAAACTGACATTACGGTTCCAGTCACCCCGTCACTCCCACTTTCGTGGATTGACAATCGTTGCAGTCGGACGTCAGTCTTAATGACTCCAAATGGGGACTTCGTCAGTGTTGTCGCAAGGTCCTTCATCCATTGCAGCCATGGATTCAAAGGCGGCCCCATCGCGTTTATCCTTGCGTTCATACTTGGGATTGAGCTGGGGCTTATCCTCACGCTCGTCGCTGGACTTAGCGTTGGATTCCTTGTCACCAACTTCAGTGCTTTCGTATCCCCACGGCTTCTCCCCAGCTACTCTCAGCATCAATCGAATAAGAGCGTGCAAGGTGTAGTATGCGTCATTTCCGGCATTGTGCAAGTCGGGACTCAAGATATTTAGCAAGCCCAGCAGTGCTTGGAGACCTCGTGGCTGGGTCTCCCCAGTAGCAGCACAGTACAGCTCTGCCACATCGATAGTCTCAGAAATGACCGAAGAGGGTTCCTTCAGATTGACAAAAGCTTGGCTTTCCGCTCTCTGGAGTTGCATGATATCACCATGGAGGTCGAGACCGACCAAGATCACAGTGCGCTTCTGCTTCTTGTATGCGGCGATCTCATTTTCTCCCTTGCACTGAACCTGGTATGCGGGTATTTTCTCCTCCTTCGGGGGAACCATGTATGGAGGATAAAATGCAGCGTCCACAACGTTTGGAATTTCGGCATGCGGAATTAGCTCACTCTCGCCGAATCGGAAGCTACCAGGACATCCGGTAGTGTGAGTGTTGTTGACCCAGTTTCGGTACTCCTTCACACGCAGGTGGCGGGATCGAATCAGTTTCAACCACTTTTCTCCGTAATCACCAGGGGCCACACCATCCAAGTCCAACATATCCAGGGTTGAAATTCCAACCTCGGTCAGAGAGCCCATAGCGCCGTAACAGTCCATCCACTCAAGATCAATGCTGATAAAAATGGGAGCATCTTGAAAGACCCACTTCACAGGCTGCAAAACATCAATTGCTTCGATCTGACCATTGGCAAACGACGGCTGTGGAACATTCGGCTGCAATGCAGGACGCAGCCCAAAGTAGGCTTGCACACGACCTAGGCACTCTTGCCACTTCTTCATTCGGGAATCTCGAGCCGCCTGCTTGTAGGTGTTCTTCTTGGTCTTGATTGTAGCGATGGACTGCTTGATTTTCTTTTCGAATTCCTCGAAAACATGGGGCTCAATCAGCTGTACCCAGGGCCCCCAGTTCTCCAGAGCCGAGGGAACCCTACCCTCCAACTTCATCTTCCGATCACGGGTGCTGCTGCGGCCAAGGTACACAGGCGCCGGCAGTTTTTCATTGTCGATTTCAATCACGAGGCCTTCCTTGCCAACGCCCGTGAGAGTCAAATTGAGGTTCAGAGCCGAATTGATTTCATCGAGCAGTGCTTGAGCCTGGAAAGTGGGAATCAAAAGAAAGGTGGTTTGGGAGATAATCCGCGGAACAGGCAGATAATAACTAGGTGAGTATTAGCGACGATATACTTTGCTAATTAATTCTAGATTTGACACACAGATCCCAAGTTCGGTTCCAGAACTTATCGCCCTCATAGAACCGCTCATTAACTTTCTTGGCATTCTCTCCATGGAGGTATCTGAAAGGGAAGCGGGCCATTGTGACGGCCGGAGTGAACGACTGGGGAACTGGGATCTCAGTGACCAGCTCCTCGTCGGAATCCATGTCAGAAATATCGCCGTCGCCACGCTCATATTTGGACAAGCCCGAGAGATCAAGGTGCATCTTTGGGGTACGACGGTGGGGGCGACCATCCTGCTTGATCTGAGTCAAAAGCTTGTCTTCCGGCTCAGGTAGCTGTCCAACCACATGGGTACGAATGTACGACAAAGGAAATTGGCCACCTGCAGGGTACTTCATGCCATCTTCCGGCTTAAAATCAACTGGGAAAGCATATCCACTTACGCCTTGCTTAGCTTTGTTGGACTCGGCAGGATTGGGTCCATCCGCAGCTGGGGCAGGTCGGGCGGCTCGGGTCTTATTCAACTCGGTATTCAGATCTTTGAGACCTGGATCTCCTTCGAGGAGCATCCTCAGACGCTCGCGAACATCCATTTTGAAAAATCGAGATAAAGCTTCAGCAAAATCGATGGGTGTGAGATGAAGAGGAGAGGGAGAGGAAGTGGGACAAATAAAAAGAATATAAACAAACGCGAGTGGACGCGCACGCTGAGCCTTTGGGATTAGAATAGCTCAATTAGGAAAGAATGGTCAGTTACGGAAGGGACGATGGAAATAGACGGAAGTAGAGAAAGAACGATGTACATTGGGAGGGATGTCTGTGTGGTTTCTCAACAAGGAAGTTACATATATGTACATGAGGTGAGTATGTACATGTATGTATATGTAGCTTGTAGTGAAGTACATTAAAGAGATCAATGTGCCCCTCTTATTGCTCTCTTCGTTCTCTTCATTCTATTTTTTTATGCAGGCGATATTGTCTGATAATTGACAAAGGTATCAGTAGGGAATAACTTCATTGATCAGTACCTTGTCCGGTTTTATCTGGCAGAGAAATATATACTCGGCACTTTAGTTTGACTTTGAAAAGTCAAGCGAGATTGAATCAACTTTTGGATTGACTATTAAACGTATATGTAAACCCACAAATACAGCACAATACATAACAGATTCATACAGAGCAAATTATTCGTTACACCGAGGTTCTTGTAAAATCAAGATGCTCATACTAGTCACTGTTTGTATGACGATTTATAGGGTACATGGATATATTTTTGACCTCCAATGTAACAACGCTCTATTTCTGTGGCTCTAACTTTCTCGCCTATAGAAAACTTTGATATTCCTGTAAAACTTTCACAATTGACTGGTTTTCACCTTAAGAGCAAGGTCTGGAGTCGCTACTCTCAGAGACCTTCTGAGAGGTAGAGCTTCTAAGAGGTGCCTGTGAAGATATAGTAGGATAATAGTAATAATATAGTAATAGTATGTCCATGAGTATATTAGGTATAATTTCAAATCACATACAATTCCCCCTCGCTTCGCTTATATAGTAATACAAGATTGAGAGCTTCGCCGCTTTTATGGGATTTTTCAACCTGTTGGTTGAAATTGGAGCCACCCAATTTCATATAATAAGATCCTACCCTCTTACTCTATTGAATCTCTAGTGGATCGGGAGCGAATTGGTGGCATGGTGGGTGGTTAAAGAACAGAGGTTTAAATTAATGCGGCTCGGTAGTGAAATACGTTAAATAGTTATCGCTATCCCAGCTGAATCCATTGACTCTTTAAGTTTGAAAACACCCGGCATAAAGCTTCTCGCCACATTTCGAAATTCGAAGAGCCTCTTCCACTGAGCCAGTAAACTGCGCTGCATCATCTTCAGAGGGAGAAATAAGGAGATGAACTGAAGTCCCCAGCAGATCACCCTCGTTCTTAACCCCCTCCTCCCCCCAATGCAAATTCATTTGACCTTCGTTGCCCCAGGTTAGGGCTACAACTGGGTTGATTTTTCCAATCCAAATCAATATACAACGCATTTCTAGATCAAGATGCGACACAGCCGCCCGATATGCTGCGATAGCAGTGATTGAGCGCTAAGCCACCAGTAGCCAAAAGCCAAGCACGAACTAGCTCACTATTTCGTTTTGGTCATGATATCTTTCACATCCGGTTTCCCCCCTTTGTGTACCCAAATTTCTCTCAACTAATATGGAACCCAATTCACCAGCCCCAGCCTTGTACATCACGGGACTGGGATCGAAATATCCGCCATATCTGCTAGGTGCCGAAGACCTTGATAAACTCGCATCACCGTTTCATGATGTGAGCCGCCCAGGGTAAGCTATTCAAATTCGTCTGGCCCGCCACGGAAAACGGCTGATGTTTTGCATCTAGAATCAAAAAGCTGCTTAAGGTCAACCGCTCAACGGGTATTGAGACCAGATCTGCAGTCCGACCGTATGAGGAAGGATTTGCAACACAGACGAACCCACCTTCAATCTGTGAGATTGACCAATTTTTCCGTCAGGCCGGGGTCGACCTCGCCGTTCAAGCATGCCAAAAGGCTCTCACAGAAGCACATGTGTCTCCCCAGCAGATCACCCACACGATCGCGGTTACCTGTACCAACCAAGGTAATCCGGGGTACGATTTTCTCGTGGCCCGTAAATTGAACCTCCCACTCCATGTTGATCGTATGCTTCTCCACGGCGTTGGGTGCGCAGGTGGACTGTCAATTTTGAAGGCCGCAGCGCAGATAGCCGGTGGGGCAAGTCTGCGACGGAAACCGGCCCGCATTTTGGCATTTGCTTGTGAGCTGTGTACGCCCAATGTGCGACATTATCTGTCGATTGCAGAACGCAGTACAGATTCTGATCCAGTCAATATTGCAGCAGCTTTGTTCTCGGATGCTGCGGCCGCTTTTGTTCTTTGTAATGAGTATGCTATGGCTCAGGACGAGGAAGTCACTCCTCAATTTGAGCTTCTGGAATGGGGTTGTGATGTGATTCCGAGCACCGCTGAGCACATGACATTTTATGCGGATGTAGATGGTTTGTTAATTGTTGTTTGCTGTTTGAAGAAACTCAGACTAATCGGCGTACATAGGTTATCGAGCTACTCTCGATCGAGGTATTCCCAAATACACTAAACACGCTATCGGACCGATGTTTGAGAGACTTCTTCCGTCGTATGAGGAGCAATACAACTCTCATTCAAGAGCAGGCGGGGAGCTGCTGAGCCCGCTCGGGATCCGTGATTTCGATTGGGCCTTGCATCCGGGAGGGAAGGCAATCATAGATGGCGTAGCAGAAGTCTTGCAGTTGTCTGAAGATCAATTGCAGGCAAGCCGGGAGATATATCGCACACGGGGAAACTCGTCTAGTGCTTCGGTCTTGATTGTCTTGGATCGGCTTCGTTCACAAAGTAAAAAGGCGCATGTTGTGGCTACCTCATTTGGTCCCGGTCTGGCAATTGAGATGGCACTTCTAAGAAGGTGTCAGGTAGATGATTGATAATCTTGAGTGCGCTTCTGAGGGTGTTATTATCGATGTTCGAGATCTACCACTTACCATATCTCTTGAGAGTGACTGGCAATGGGTGATCCTCTATTTAGAACCAAGTACCTACACTGTAGTGGAGCTTAGAGTAAAGCTGATTCTGATTGAACTGCACCCTAACTCATGAAAGGCCCCCCTAAAAGCCGATTAAAATCGATTCGGGGAGAAAAGAGAGGAGAGGAACTGAGCTAAGAATTTCGAATATCTACTTCCCACCTAGTGGAGGAACGCCTGGTTGTAAAAAGCAACAAGCAGCCAACGCCAACCTCTCGAAAGACGAGTACAACCCTACCCTGCAGCTCGTAAAGAATTACCCGAGTGCGCATATAGTATTCGTTATATGCGAGTCATTATAGATGGGTTACAGAATCTATACATTCACGTGACCGGGAGTTCCCCAGGTAGTCCCGGAATAACTATTATCCGATGTTTTAGGACCTCGTGCAGCAAGGCACCCAGCTCCATCTGTTATCTGACACCTAGACCCCTCGATGTCCTCATTTATTATCACAGAATCGCAGTGAATTTGGCAAATCTCAACCTCGGTTGAAATTTCAAGGCGCGAATCCCCCTTCTACAACAAATCAAGATCCAAGATCCACCACTATCGCGCTAGAACATGCCCATGACCGACGACACAGACGATAGCGGAGGGGTTATCCTAGATGGCCCCTTCGACCCTGACGCGCAGGCTACGGTAACAGACTTTATCGACTACACCGAATACCTCCCGGCAGACTTAATCCGCTCCTTGACCCTCATACGCGGCCTCGATGACCGATACCTCGACTCGGCGCAAGCAGTACACCAGCTCACTCAGACCTACGGTCAGCTCCCAGACCTTCCTCCCGATAACCGACCAGGCGCAATTGCACTGCGCAAGGATATATCTTCTCAAATTGATCGTGCCATCAATGCGCGTGAATCAGCATATGCCGAGGCCTGTCGTCTCTACGATGTTGTAGATCGCCACTTCGACCGATTAGGTTGTATCCGCCAGAAACTCGAAGCACTGCCGAAACCTGCCTCAGAAGAACCATCACCTCCACCCGAACCTACACCGAAGCGTGCGCGCGGAGGTAAGAAGACCAACAAGGATGCCACGACGCGTATCACCCTTCGATTAGATAACAACCGCAGCCGGAGAGATAAAAATCGGAGGCGCATGCTAGGTGCTGATGGGGCTTTTGATCCAGACTCTCCGCTTGCTAGTACGGAGCAATCGGACTTGGAGAGTGAACTCATTAAATCTGCCCCAAAGCCCGCTCGACCCCCAAAGAAGGACAAAGCACGTCGCCTGAGCTTGGGTAACGGACCGTCGACAGCCCAGGCTCTTGCGCAGTTGAAACCACCACCAGCTGACGCGAAATTAGGCAGTGAGGACCTGCCATGGTTGCGCTTGACCGAATGGGAGATGACCCGACTGCGGAAGAAGATGAAAAAGAATGCTGTGTGGCAGCCAAGTGAAGTAATGATTCACCGTGAGCTAGCCCTGGCAAATCGCGGCTGGGAAGCGTACCGCGCAGCGAAGGCCCTAGCGGAAGAGACGGGTGGGGAGTTCATTGACTGTGATAATATTGAGGAAACCCGGCGGGGGAGGCCGCCAAAGATTTGGAGGAGACGAAGCTGAGCAATCGCGGAATGAAACTCAACGAAGCAAAGAAGTTGAAACGCGAACAGTTGGCTCGTGAACAGGCATTGATGGAAGGCGAAGGTGGTGTTTTGCCCAGGCCTTTGCCAAGCCCCGCCCAAGCACCCCCAGCCGCGAATCGATCATCACGGAAGAGGAAACGGGAAGAGGTTATCCTAGAAGCAACAAATCTTGCTCCCGAGCCTCCCAACCCTACGCCAGTTGCTGCCCCAGTCGCACCACCCGCACCTATCCCTGTCCCTGCGCCCTCTTCAAGGGCTGCCCCGTCTCGACGCAGATCTAGCCGAGGAGCCGTTCCAGCCACCGAAACTAACAACGACCTCATCCCCCCCGATCAAAACCCACGTGTCCCCCGCAGTTGAAGCCAAACTTTCCCCTTCTCTCCCTAGCCCCACAGGCTCCGGGCCATCCAACCCATCCCTTGTCCAACCCGTCGTCACTACACCAACCCCACCCGTCACTCGGCCTTCATCGCGACGCTCTATAGCCGCCGCCTCAATCGAAGGAGGGAACCTCATTGCCATTCCAACCGCAATAGCAGCAAGTGGACGCGACCGCCGTATCAAAAGCGCAACACCTGCTCACAAAACCCCCATCCGCGAGTCATCGCATGCGCCAAGTGTTCCCGGCCCGGCCCGCCGACGCAAACGTCCAGCACCAGGTCCCATTTCCAGTGGTCAAGATGGTGGCGCAGCAGTGAGCTACGGACGCCGCAAAGCCAAGCCAGGAAAGAAACGCCTCAGCATCCGCGACTCCCAGGATGTCCGTGTAGATGAAGACGGCGTTCTTGAGCAGATCGATGCCAATGAGCCCCGATACTGCCTCTGTGGAGATGTTAGTTTCGGGACGATGATCTGCTGCGAAAATCAGGATGTAAGTTATCCTCATTATGACATATTCTAGCAGAATACTAATATTTTGATTTGTTACAGTGTGACCGTGAATGGTTCCATCTCAGCTGCGTGGGTCTGACCGAAGTCCCCTCTCGCACAGCCAAGTGGTACTGTCCCCAGTGCCGTGTCACGCTGCACAAGGGTGAAGATGGAATTATTAAGGGGAGCTCGCGACGTTAATTGGATTTGAATATGTTTCTTGCATGATACCACGATATGCGTTTGCTGCTATTTTGTTATTTTCCTATTTGTGTACGGAGTACTGCCATATGGCTTCCGGGTCCCCACCCTTTTCTTTCTTTCTACCAAATAATCATATCTTTATCAACCTTGGTACAAATCCGCTGTGTGAATCAACTCTCGCAGTATATTTCCACCACAATGTCTATCGACATGACTCACCAAGAACATGCCAAAATCTCCTTGGATGAACGATACAAAAAGCCAAGCGACGAACTGATCCTTATTAAAAGACGACATCGAGCTCGAGTCCCATTTCACGATCCTCTCTGAGACCAAGACTTCGAAGTCGAACGCATAAAACTTGGATCTTGGATCAAATGAATACCTAAAAATGATAAAGAGGGCATTATTGATGGCTTTCACAAATAAATCAAACATTAAACAATATATGGCTGTGTCTGCTTCTGATATGAAAACTAACCCTTTGGTCTGTACGAGTTAGAATATAACACCCCATCACCGCGCTCCTCTAAAGTCTCTTCCATAGTAGACAGTTCATTATACCCCTTATCCAGCCGCGGTGATTTCGAATATCGACTGGTATCCGGCAACTCTTGATATTTCTCAGACCCAGGCTGCGGATGATAAAAGTCCGCCGGCAATTCCACCGCAAAGCTTTTACGATGTTCCTGTCCATATTGCGACGGAGGGGCATACCCCGAAGCCACCGATCCGAACTGCACCGAATCCGTCGGTGATGTGGGCACACGAGATGACGACGACCTGGACATTTGATCCGACTGTCTGCGCGATGAATACGATGGCTCCCTGATAATCCTGCTCGATCGATCGGCCGGATTATACGTCGTCAATTTCCCATCCTCCATCATAGCCTGCAAGACACCCGCATCAAGAAGCTCAGCTTTCTTAATTAGACGATCTACCAACACCTTCGAAGCAGCCTTCATCTGACCCTTGACGAAAGAAATTAACGTGCGGTTGCATTCAATCTCGATGTCTTCGCGCAGATAGAGTCCCGTTTTTGGGGCACCGTCTGCGCGTCCATCGCGCGGTTCGGGCGCTTCGTCGTGTTGGTTGCCTGCAATGCGCCATTTGCTTCGGATATCGATCCCCATCGGTGCGTACATGTGTGTTTCTAGACCCCATGTGACGTTGTGGAAACAGCCTTTGAAGCTGATCTTGCCTGACCCCATTTTGCCGAGCCCCGGGACATATTGTACTCGTTCTGTGATCTCGTACCATGTTGAGTAGTACTCGTCGGCCACGGCATCCCGTGGAGCCTTGATGGGTTCATGTGAGAGGACGAGTGGGTTTAGTGTGATTATTTCGCTGTGGCTGTGTAGGATGTCGAGGGCTAGTTGGCGGGGAACAGATGCGGGGATGGGGGTGATGTTGGTATAAACATCTTTCCGGCGCATCATTTTGAATGATTTAATTTGATAATTATCAATTATCAACAGCCGTGGAGGGGAGAATGTAAGTTTAAAAGTGCAGGGCTGAATTGAAATTGCGCTCGTATTTCATCTGCTTACTATTTTTAACTTGCGCTAGACCTTGCACATGACAAGATTGGCTTGGGCTATGGCTTTGGGCATAAATAAATCATATAGAAACCATCTGAAAACAATACACTTCTGATTGGTATAACATAAATTCATTTACATAATCTCTACTTCAGCTCCCACTTCTCGCCCTCGGAGACAATCTCCACGGGCCGCCTCTCATCCAGCGACTTGCGTCCAGCATCGAGAATTGCCGTTGTGGCGATCGTGTTGCGCAGAGTGGGCAGCGGACGGGCATCCAACTGGTCGAGGGTAACACGGCCCTCGTTCACAGCTGTCACGGCATCGATGAACTTCTCGAAGCTGATGTAGCCGTATCCAGTCTGTCCGCTGAAATTTCCTTCCTCATCAGGAGCGTAGCGCATATAGAATCTATTAATCGGAGTCAGCATGGAGCCATGGTGCGGCATTATCTTAGGAGTATGGTTCTTACGGGTTGAAATGAATGAGACCCTGCTCATCACCGGTCACTTCATAGCCACGCTTGGCCTGGTTAACACGGATCTCGCCGTTGGCGGCCATATCTGTTTAAATGTGTTAGAAGAAATATGTTAATAGAATATTGCCGGAAAATGGAATAACATACAGTGGAAGTACTGGTTGGAGTGAACGCCCGCATTTTGAGGTGCGGTCCAGCTAGCAGTATAGACACCAGTGGCAATCTTGGCCGGGTTATCACGGCGGCGCCACTCCACGAGGAGGGTGATGGTGTCCTCGGTCTCGGGGACACATCCAAGCGCAGCAGCGGTACCCTGAGATGCAGTTGCTGTGACCCGCACAGGCTTGTATTCTGGGACCATGCTCTCGCAGACATCAATGTGGTGAGAGTTCAGGTAGTAAGAAATATCGGAATCACGACCAGCCCAGGCCTTGAAGGTCTCGAGCTGACTCTTAGGCTGGCTCATGTAACTATAGAAGTAGTTGAAGTCACCGAGGGTCTTGGCCTTAGCACGCGCATCAGAGTATGCAGGGTCAAAGCGCTTGTGGTGCTCGACGAAGACGAAAACGCCGTGCTTGCGCGCGGCCTCGACCAGAGCGAGGTGGTCTCCCAGACGCTGTGTTGCTGGCTTAGTGATAAGCACGTGGTGACCGCGCTCAATGGCGTACAGCGCAATGGGATAGTGGGTAGAGTCGGGGGTGAAGATGGTGATGGCGGATCCTTTGGGGAGGGCATCAATGGCGGTCTTGTATGCATCAGGGTCGGTCTGGTCGTCCGCTGGGAATGAGGCGAACGAAGTATCGAGGTTGTTGTAGACTTGAGAGATGTTACGGTACAAGTGGTCGCCTATTCTCGTGGTTAACTTCTCGTTTGTTTGTTTGTATGCTTGTTCTTTCGCCCAACTTACGAATACCAGGGAACTTCTTGCCCGACACTCCCACCATGCTCAGGTCGCCCACCTTGCCCCGTCGGCGCAGGTCAAATAGAGTGAGACCTACCACGCCGACCTTCTTGTCTGAGCCAGATGCACCACCGCCGACGAAGCCGGTGGTGTATTCGCCAGTGCCAACCTGCGAGTCTGTTAGCTTCGGATCTAGTGCGGGGAACCATTGTCCATACCATCAAAACGCTAGGAGGAGCCATGATGTGTGTTAATTCCGATATGGTGATTGAATTCCGGGGGATTTCTGGGGGAGAAAAGGAAATTTAAGACAATTCACAGAAAGCCGGGGTATTGAATCGCTGGATATAATTCTTCCGGCCTTTGAAATGCCCACTCAATAGCCGTATCTTATCGGCTTTGGGGTTTTGGACGTCATTTGTTTTCTTTTTCATCGACCTCATTCTTCCTTTCAAGGAAATAGAGATTCATACATGTATATACATTATTGCCCTTGTTACTCTGGCCTCAATTCCAAATTTACCAAGTGCTAGACTCATGTATGGTCTTTTCAACGCCATTGTCGGCTGAAATCCGTCTTTACCCGTCTTTTACCCCCTCATGTCCCCCACATTTTGAGCGGTTAAGCTGATTGGTGGAATGTGATTCTCCGCCATACAAAGTGCCTCGGAGCATTCGCCGACGTGGGGGAGGGGAGAAGGATGCCCCGAAGAAGTTCATAAGCATGTCAAATGCCAATCATGTTTTAATTACTACGAAGTATATACCCCTCAAATTCCAAGTAGGTCATTATACAATCAACATCCGTGAACATCAACTCACAGAAACTCCAGAATCATGCCTCTCACTCCACTCCGCCCCGGCGTTTATGCGCCGACGATGACCTTCTTTGATGCCCAGACCGAAGAGCTCGATATCGCCTCCATTCGCCGTCACGCTGTGCGTCTAGCAAAGGCCGGCCTTGTCGGCCTGGTTACCATGGGCTCCAACGGTGAGGCTGTGCATCTCAGCCGCGAAGAGCGCATGACCGTCAATCGGGAGACCCGCTCTGCTCTCGATGAGGCTGGTTTCTCCAACGTGCCCGTCATCGCCGGTGCCAGCGAGAACAGCATCCGCGGAACCATCGACCTGTGCAAGGAGGTCGCAGCTTCTGGCGGCGAGTACGTTTTGATCGTGCCCCCAGCTACTACCGCGCCGCAGTCGGCAATGATGAGACCCTATACGAGTACTTCACAGCCGTTGCCGATGGCTCCCCTGTTCCTATTATCCTATACAACTACCCCGGTGCTGTCGCTGGCATCGACATGGACTCCGACCTCATCATCCGTATCTCTGAACACCCTAACATCGTCGGCACTAAGTTCACTTGTGCCAACACCGGAAAGCTGACTCGTGTCGCTACCGCTCTCGGCGCCATCACCCCCTCCTCCCCCTTGGCTCCAGCTCAGCGTACCGCAACAGTCTCCAAGCCAAACGCCAAGCACCCATACATTGCCTTCGGCGGTATTGCCGACTTCACTCTGCAGACCCTCGTCTCTGGCGGCTCTGCCATTCTTGCAGGTGGTGCCAACGTTCTTCCCCGCCTTTGTGTCCGCCTCTTCACGCTCTGGTCCGAGGGCCGTCTCACAGAGGCCATCGAGGCTCAGCAGCAACTCAGTGCTGCCGACTGGGTTCTTACAAAGGCTTCCATTCCTGGCACCAAGGGTGCTATCCAGTCATACTACGGTTACGGCGGGTTCCCTCGCCGACCTCTCAGCCCTCTTACTGATGCCCAGTACCAGACCGTTGCTGATAAGATCAAGCCTGCTATGGATGTGGAATTGAGCTTGCCTGATGTGGCATAGTGGCTTAAAAATGTAGCAAGGAGCTACATTTAAAGTCTAGTAATATAATTCCAATGCATATATCAAGTTTCATGACCCCACTTTTTGTTGCCATAAGTGTAGATATTTATTGATATCTCATACACCAACCTCATGACGTTATCTCTGAATGGCTCGGTGTACTTAGGGTAGGTCGCTCACGTCATACCTATGTAGGTATGTGCCCAGGTAGTTATCTGGGGCAAACATCGTGGGCTGAGCCGTGGTAAGACAAAAGCTTAACATGACGAAAGCTTGCATCGTTCAAGCGTCTTGCTTTGAAACCTTCAACTTTCCAAAATGAGAAGTGTATCTACAAATTTCCTAAACTGGCATAGTTCAAACAAATAAACTTTCCAATATTATTCCTGATTCCACGGCGGAATACGTCTACTGGAACAACTCAGCCTCCAGCGCTAGCATTTAAGGAAATGGACGGGCGTCTGATTAGGGCTTGGTAGATTAAATCAACCTCGAAGCCCTATATACATTCACCTCCCAGGGGGTTATTTTTCTCCACCACCTAAATATGGGAACTACACATACACTGTTCCTTCTTCTTCTTCTTCTTCTTCTGATTATTATTATTATTAGCCACCGAATATTCCAAACCCTCCCTCGTGTGGGATATTACCATATATATCGATTATTCAGCTTTTCTGCCTCGCGCAGTCAACCAAAATGCACGATATCTCAATAGATACGATCCTCCAAACTTGGTATTTTATACTAAGATGCCAGAGACTCGAGCAAATTCTTGTCTCCATGAAGGAAATAACAACCCCCTTCATCCCACAGCAGCGTCTAAAGCTTCTCCGGATTGACCTTAATCATCTGGACATTAATTCCGGTATAACTTCGCCTTCTGTGATACGCTATTTTATGCCGCGAACAGACACGCCGAAAGTAGAGAAGATACGTCCAGACCCAGACTGGGACTGGTTTCTATCTCAAAGAGGAAACTTCGGAAAAGGAACTTTCCGTGCAAACTATCTACTTCGGCGTGTGTTCATGGACTACCAGGACTGGAGTATTCCGGAATTCTGGCCTTATGAGATGTATGAAATAAGAAGCGATGAAAAAGAGATTGATAATGCTACTGGCCCGGGGACGGGTCACTTTGATAACACTAAGGAAGACAACAAAGTGAGCGATAAAAAGTACAAGCCGGATAATAAAGAAGTCAACGAGGACAAAGAAGGGAAAAGTATGGACCCCGAAAAACATGATGAGAAGGACAAAAATGACGACAACAGCAAAGAGTGCGGTAACAGGACTCGCAAATCAAGTGATGAAAGTCGCGAGAAAGGTGATCAAAGCGAAAGCGAGGAAAGTGACAAGGAGGCCGATGATGACCGTGAGATGGTGATTGCGAAAGCTTTGGACCTGAATATCCGCAACTATAAAACTGATGACTGGTTAGTCTACTGGTAAGTGGCACATGGCTATTCTGAAATTTGGATTATTTCAACTGATTAATTTCACCTAGGACCCAAACTCTATACGATCTAGACCTCCCGGATAAAAAACATGGAATCAGTATCGTTAGGTCAATGGAGCTAGATCACCCACACCAATGCCATACATGGGCTCTAGTAGATGTGATATTATGTGGTCACGATTGCCCCTCGGCTGCTGAGCTTATTGCCTTGGTTAGCTGGGGGGGTGAGAAGCATGCTCAATCAATTAGAATCGCTCTCCAACGGAATTGAGCCAGAGGATGTCCATATGCTCAATGAAGTTTTCCCAGTAAGTCCAGGTCACTCCTAACTTCATCCCTTGTGCAAAGAATGTCTTACTGATAACTTGTGGACTCTACAGACTATGATGATAGTGTTCGACCAAAGATGCTGTGCCCGTGTCCTGTACGGTTACTTTGATGGCAGATTTCAAATCCAATTTACCCCCGTTTTGAATTTTAAGGAATTCACCGACGTCAGCTCGGAGACTTTGGATGGTTACATGGGTCAAATTAACAAGAAGAAATACTACGACATGATGCACACACTGCTTCGTTGGGCGTGGCCTCTTTGCCATCATCTCACAACTATCGCCCAGCTTTAAGACCTCAAAAATTATAGCTATATGGAGAACCTTCATTTACTAGTTTAGCTTCGGATGGCTCGTTTATATAGCCAAGCTTTCCCTTGGCGTCTCTAAGGGGGCATTGTACATTGATTTACGGGGCTATTCTTTGTCTACAACGACTTTACCAGAGCTTTTGGGAGTCTCGCACCCCGTACAGACTAGTATATGGGCATTACCAGATGAAAACTCCTTAAAATTACAGATCTACTTGCTTACCCTTGATAATAAATTTGATTTGTAGTAGTAAATACGACGTGTATTTTCCCTCCTGTTGTGAGTACAACATCTGCTGCTTACACTCTCAATGAGTATACGTAACTTTGGTTTCACGGTGCTCTGGGTTGTTTTGGACACCAAAATTAAAAGGCTGCAAGGCATAATCACGAAGGTAGAAATACCAACAACAAACTGATATTCGACACTATTGTCCAAGATATCAGGTCCCCCTTCCCCCACATGACCCGTGCTATTGTAGATGTTCGTGATGTCTCCCGCCTCTATGTCGAGTCATTGCAGGAGGCAAACCGAAATCGATTCCTCTTAACATCGATGCCTCTGACACCTAGCCTGTCTTTGGGTGGAAATTCACGCACCTGGAACAAACAACCATCGATCTCACTTACATTAATTACATTGAGATCAGGTGATTGTGTTTGTTTCCGTCCTTAACCGTGGCCGATGTTCCGTCTTTTACCGTGACCACACCCATGTAAAGTTCAAGCCCTAAATCCAAGCCCTAGGTATATCATCCCACTTCTTATCGTCGATAATGTCACTCCGGGATATAATTTCTCCTTGCACGCTCATAGGTGGAAAAACCTCTAGATCGGAGTTGATGCGAGAACCCGTCCACTGGACGACCTCGGGAGCGTTATCAGCTACGTAGTATGGGAGGTTATTAGAATTCTACCCCACTAAATACAACAACCACCCCACGCTGCCCAGACCACTTGGTTCTTTCCATCGTATTGATTCGTCTCTCGGGCGATATTGGCCCCGAGTCCTGCGCTCTGATTCCTCTCAGTTGTCAGTTTTACCCGGTCAAGCGGGTCCACGGGACAATGTCCGACTGGAAGGAAAACAGCTGTATACCGTAGTATCTCGTGTTACGATGGATTTGGAAATTATATCCCGCGTAGGAAGAATTAAGAATCTTTTGCGATCCCCGCTCGTAGGGTCTGAAATTTCGTAGCGTTGATATACACCCATCACCCCGCTTGTTTTCTGGTTTCTACTTTTATTTTCTTATTTTTTTGGGGTTCCCTTCACATACACTGCTTTGCTGTATCCCAAGGAATAGTCATTGACAAAGACTTCTTCAGACCAATCGCTCATTCTTATCACAATGCCTTACCCCGAAGAAGCTGAGGGCTTCCAGGTCGATGGACCTAACAGCTTCACCGAGTTCCACAAGCGTCACGTATGTGCTCTTTTTTGTCCGCTGGTTAGGATATGCGCTTATCTAGATTGGTTGTGATGATTAGTTCAAGCTGAAGCCTTTCGGCGATTATGGTGAGTTGGGCTATTGGTGCTACTATGCTTCTTTCTAATTCTAACCGAGTGTAGATGTCGACATCAAGATTGAGGCTTGTGGAATTTGCGGCAGTGATGTGCACACTATCAGCGGTATGGTAGTCCTGTTGAAATATCTAACAGAAACACCAGCTAATGTATACATATAGGAGGATGGGGTGATCAGAAGTTCCCTCTGTGCGTGGGTCACGGTACGTATTGAGAAACAAACAAAGAAAAAGACTCCTGTCCCATGCTAATGACCATCCTAGAGATTGTCGGTCGGGCAATCCGTGTCGGACCTAAGGTCACTCTGATTAAGGAAGGCGAGCGTGTTGGAGTCGGCGCGCAGTCCTACTCCTGCGGCAAGTGCAAGCAGTGCCGCAACGACAACGAGACATACTGCCAGGTTGAACCTATGGACACCTACGGCTCGAAGTGGGCCGACAGTGGCATCGTTAGCCAGGGTGGATACTCTTCACATGTGCGGACACACGAGCACTGGGTGTTCCCGATCCCGGACGCACTAGAGACCAACTCGGTTGCTCCGATGCTGTGCGCCGGACTGACGGCTTACTCCCCCTTGGTGCGCAATGGCGCTGGTCCTGGCAAGAAGGTTGGAATCGTTGGACTGGGTGGCATTGGTCACTTTGGAATCATGTTTGCCAAGGCACTGGGTGCGGAGACGTGGGCTATTTCGCGCTCTCGTGCTAAGGAAGCGGATGCTCTTAAGCTCGGTGCTGATGGTTACATTGCTACTGCTGAGGAGGGATGGGAGAAGGATCACCTGTGCTCGTTTGATTTGATTATCAACTGCGCTAACTCTTCTGAGGGTTTCGATCTTGCGCGCTATCTGTCCATGATGGATGTTCATGGGCGCTGGATCAGTGTTGGTCTTCCTGAGGAGGAGGGTCAGGTTATTAAGGCTCAGAACTTGATCTCTAATGGTGTTCTCATCGGTGCCAGCCACCTGGGTAGCCGTCGGGAGATGCTTGAAATGTTGCAGCTGGCTGCGGATCGGGGTCTCAAGGGCTGGGTTGAGGAGATTGCCATCGGAGAGGAGGGACTCAAGGAGGCCATGCTACGCATGAAGAAGGGTGATGTTCACTACCGGTTCACTCTGACCGGATATGAGAAGATCTTTGGATGAACATAGATGTTCAATATTGAGAAATGTACATAGTCGGTGTCAACATACAAAACCAAGGGGGTAGAGGGCTGGCGGGGGGTTGGGGCTTGGGGGCTTGGCGAGGGGTTTGGGGTGTTTATTTATATCGAAGAAGTTTTCTAGAGAGATTAAAATCAATTATTTGTCCAATAATAGTGTTGATTTTCCCATATGCAACATTGAAAGAACCTCGGAAGTATACAAAGACCCCCTTCAGGTTGGACTCTAATATTAGCCTCGGAGCCTGTTTCCAGAAAAATCTTAAAACCCTAATCGCCACCGGAGATCGGAGTGTACACGGTACTTACATCCGCAGTGATTTTAACCTGATGATCCATGTCACAGTTACTCCGCACTTTCCACGGATGTTTTCCCCCCCAGGATTTGCCTCCCGACGCCCTTAAAATTCTGACCCATGCAGAAGCGAGTACTTTATAAGTATTCGGTACTTCATTTTTATAGTATATTACTACTATGAGATTAGTACCAGTAACTACTTGGTAACTTAATGGTCGAACCAATCACTCCTCCTCAATTCACCGCCCGATAACTCAGACCCATTCGTTCTGGTTTCTGGAATTCTTCCGCCCTTTTTTATCTTCTCCTTGCGCCTTCAATTTTTCTTCTTTCTTTTGTTGTTCTCTCTCTTTCTATAGTTCATTCATTAATCTCCATCTCTCTTTCTATCTTTTTTTTTTCATTCTCTTGGGTCCTTGGAGTTCGCGAACGGTCGTTGATCTATACACGTTGTTAGACTTATATCACAGAACCCACAAGACCAAAACGTCACATCGGTCCACAGACGATAAATAGACCAGACTCACAAAAAGCCGTCATTCTTTGTCCCAACCACCGCCGTCACATATTATCAGATTTGTCCAATTATTGTTTAATTTGCCCTCGATACACCAACTTCAGTCATGTTGCCACGAGAGACCAACGCCACCTCCACAAGGCGACGCGCCTCGTTGTCATTTCGTCCACGGCCACGCACTGCAGGTCATGCCGCCCCGATGTCAAAAGAGCTGGCTTTGGATACATGGGAGGAGCCATACTTGATGGAAATATGCCAAGATGACCACGCACCCGTCGTGGAAGAGATAGACCCATTCCCGAACGCAGCTCCGCGGCGCCGTGGTGCCAAAAGCTTCTCGAGTTTGAAGCATCCTGTGGATGGTTTAGTCGCTCTCGGCCGCCGTCTATCCGTCAGTCTTCGCAACAAGCCTTCCAAGCAAACAACTCCTCTTGCCGAGCACGTCAAATTGGTTGATGACGACGAAGACCGTTACTATCACCATGTTTCGAGCCATGCAAACCATAAGCGCATGGCCTCCGGCAGCTGGGATGTCCGATCAACAAAACCATACTGGCACCAAGGCTATAGCGTCAATCGGCGCCCTTCTTTGAATAGTGTGTCTGCCCTGCATAGTTTCTATGCCCCCACCGCCTCGATTCCTGCCCCTATTCCGGGCCGTGGGCAGGCACCTCCAGTTCTGCCGAATCACAAATCCGCAGGTGCAGCGGCACGCGCCGCAGCCGCGGCGCAGAATGAACAGATAGAGGCTGCGCGGATGGCTAAGGTGGAGCTGGAGAACAAGATGCTTGATCTGAGAGTTCCGCAGGACTCGGAGAGTGGTATTTGTATTGACCTTCGCGATCGATCGGACGTGTCGGACACCGATTTGCTAGCCGTTATGCGACTCGGTAAGGATGAACCCCCCCAGTGGGCAGCGGGCCTGTTTTGCTAATTTACTTGTTTTTCAGATCCCGTGGCTCTGCTTCCGGCTGAGATTACATCCCACATTCTATCATATTTGGACCCTGATTCCCTCATGAACGTGGAGCTCGTGTCTCGCACCTGGTTCGGTGCGTCCTCTTCCCATGTTTGGAAGCACGTATTCCGCAATGCATATGGCCGACGGCCAGCAAGCGAGACGGCCTCCAAGTTGAAGCTATCATCTGGCTTAGGGAAGTCAATCCCGTACCAGGACTGGAAGAAGAAGTTTCTTGTTCGGCGCGCTCTCGATCAGCGCTGGGCGGCTGGCAAGGCTGCAGCCATTTATCTTCAAGGTCACGAGGACAGCGTCTATTGCTCTCAATTTGACGAGTAAGCTAACATTGATCCTTTAATGCCGTGCACTGCTAACCAGTTTACAGGAACAAAATTATTACCGGCTCCCGTGATCGGACGGTTCGTGTGTGGGACGCACACTATCCGTGGTCATGCAAGAAAATTATTGGACCACCCGCGGCCAGGACTTTCCGTCGTGGCCCAGTGAACAATCCAACCGCCCAGGCCACGGGGACTTCCCCATTCATTACTATTACACCACCGTGGCCCACTCTGGATGAGACGACGGAAATTACGACACCGTTGGAGGAAGCATCGATATACCACAGTGCATCAATCCTGTGCCTGCAGTTTGATGAAGAGATCATGGTCACCGGATCTTCGGACTTTACCTGTATCGTGTATGACATCAAGGACGACTACCGACCAATTCGTCGTCTTTCCGGCCATCACGCCGGTGTGCTTGATGTATGCTTCGATGACCGCTACATCGTCTCATGCTCCAAGGATACCACCATCTGTGTGTGGGACCGAAATACCGGTGAGCTTTTGAGGCAGCTCAACGGTCACCAAGGGCCAGTGAATGCTGTGCAGTTACGTGGTGACCTTATCGTGTCAGCCAGCGGTGACGGCGTTGCCAAGATGTGGAACGTGATCTCAGGCCAATGCGTCAAAGAGTTCACCAGCAAAGACCGTGGCCTCGCATGTGTCGAATTCAGTGATGATGGCCGGACCATCCTCACTGGCGGCAACGACCGTATAATCTATCAATTCGATGCCAACACTGGCGAGCTCGTCAACGAGCTTCATGGGCATACAGGCCTCATCCGATCTTTGCATCTCGACAGCGCAAATAAGCGGATCATTAGCGGTAGCTATGATATGAGCGTCAAGGTGTTCGATCGTGATACGGGTGACCTGTCTATCAACTTCCCGGGCTGGACCACAAGTTGGATGCTGAGCGTGCAGTCCGATTATAGACGCATTGTTGCGACGAGCCAAGACTCCCGGGCTGTCATTATAGACTTTGGATATGGTCTAGACGGGATCGACCTGTTGGAGGAGTGATCTATTTGCATTTGTTTATATATGGCTTGTTCTTCTTCTCAGCGTTGCTTCTTCCCGTTTGGGATTGCTTGGTCATCATTATTATACATTGCTAGTGGGAGTTGGATATGAGGTTTTTCGTATTGGGTACAAATTGGATCAGGCTGGAATATTGGCAAAATACATTCTTGCTCTTCTTTGTTATATTTATACATCCACATAACACCAGTGTAAAATCTATGTCTACATATGTAGCTTGTATTATTTTATATCTTATATCGTTAGAATAGCCTCAATTTCCAACGTCTACAGAGTTAGGTCGTCACCTGAGGTGTCAAGACAGCTGCTACCTACGGAGTACAAGATCAATAGATCGACCATTTCTGCTGGTCTAATGTGTCAAATATGGCAGCCGGGAAGGCGGTAGACACGGCGGTCAATCGGTTAAGTAGCGATGCATGAGGCGACAACTTGATATCCTTAGCTAAGGCCATGCTGGGAGATATGACATATGAGATTTGACCTGTTGCGATGTAATTGTACCTCACTCGACAATGTAATAGTTTCATGCGCCGAGGTAATATTTTCGGTCTACGATATGATACCTCAGGTATACCATGACACCTCAGGCACCAAGACATTGATTAACTAATCCATCTGTGATTCGCCAGAAAAAGTGGGCTAGCGCCAGTGTGATCCGTGGGATTTAGCATCAAAACAATCCCTCTGCTGTTTCCCATCAACCACACAAGCAGAGACTGACAAGAAGTCTTGGTCTTGCAGTGTAATATCTCCATCCGACTCTCTTTCCGCTTAGCGCTTATCCCAGTCTCATTTTTCGCTTTAGCGTTTCGATTGATAACCATTTTACCCCACCATCATGGGTGAATCCAGGTTCGGCTTTTCTCCTATTCCCCGCCATCTCGCGACCAATATGGCCTTGCTGACCGCCGATCGATTTATGATTTCAGACAGGAGCTGCTGGCATGGCTTAACAACCTGCTTCAGCTGAACCTTACCAAGATTGAGCAGTGCGGAACTGGGTATGGTTGATCAACATTCTCTCCCCGACATTAAACGGCCCGCGGGGCGAACTTTGTTTTTGTATAGATCAGATGGGCTAACCTCTTATCTTGTCTCTCTATAGTGCTGCCCTCTGCCAGGTGTTCGATTCGATTTTCAGTATGTAATGACTACGACTTGCGCAATAATTGAGAGACGGGCGGTTCCGTATTGGGTTGTGGAACATACTGACTGACTGGTCTCTTTGTTCAGTGGATGTTCCCATGTCCCGGGTCAAGTTCAATGTGAACACTGAATATGCTTACCTCCAGAACTTCAAGGTTCTTCAGAGTATGTGAATGCATATTCCAAATCGGTCAACGATCCCCCTTTTTTTTTTAACATATTCCATCACCCAGATGTCTTCGCCCGTCATTCCGTCAACAAGCCCATCCCCGTCCAGTCCCTCACAAAGTGCCGCATGCAGGACAACCTTGAGTTCATCCAGTGGGTTAAGAAATACTGGGATCAGCACTATCCCGGTGGTGAATACGACGCCGTCGGCCGGCGCAAGGCCTCCGGCGCACCTGCTTCCGTTGGTGGACCTGCTTCGCGCGCCCCGTCTGCTGGCAGCGCACGCCGTGGAGTGACCCCGACAACTGGCGCAGTCCGTCCCCGGGTTGCCACCGCGGCCAGTGGAGCGGCCACTGCTGCCCTGCAACAGGAGATCTCGACACAAAAGGAAGCGATTGCAGGACTAGAGAAGGAGCGGGACTTCTACTTTGCCAAGTTGCGCGATATTGAACTGCTACTCCAGAGTGCCATTGAAGCCGACCCCGAGCTTGAAAAGGAAGAAGACACGCTTGTTAAGCACATCCAAGGCATTCTATACTCGACCGAGGTCCGTTCCCTTGATCTATTCGCTGAAGATTCCCCAAACTGACGCTTATGCGCCCCCATTAGGACGGCTTCGAGATCCCCGCCGAAGGAGAGGAAGTTCCGGGCGATGATCTCGAGACTTTTTAAGCGAAAAATGAGTTCTGGGCCCCGAGAGGAGGAAAGAAAGACTCGTTACTAATACCCCCCGCGTCTTTTATTCTTTCTTGTCTTCTTTCTATTGGTGTCAAATAAGACGAGCACGTAGATATGGAGTCCAATGCATACATCTTATTTTTCCAGAGACAGAGACAGAAACAGAGACAGTGGTCTGACACTTCGGCTTAAAATAGGTTTATGGAGAATGAGATCGGCAAATGATTCGCCGTTAGTACGGAGGACAACGTACTCCGGAAAGTGAAAGTGGAATTAGGTGGAGTAACACACAACTGATTTAATATTTTCAGGATATATTGAATCACATAAACATAAACATGTCAACATGTCAACATGGCCTTCTACTCCGTACTCCGTAGATAGTAATTATGCATGTAACCATTTGTCCCTTGCCTACAACATCCATATGTCCATATGTACTCCGTCAATACGCTAAAGATGATAATTAAACCTGCATGGTACCCTAGTCCCAAACCGGACTAGTTATCTTGGCCAGAACCTCATCCGGGCCCTGTCAACTTTTCTATTCGTTGATCTCGCGGTACCTGGCTGTACCTGGCCGTGTACCTGCGTTGAGAACTGTTATTATTATTTTTTTCCCTTTCTTTGTTTTCTATGGAGGGGGAAAAAAAAAGAAGACTGTCATAATTCCATTTCAGATATCTTTTTCTCCCTGAAATCAGAAAGAATAGAAAAAGAAAGAAAAAGAAAAAGAAAAAGATCTGTCGGCCCCCGAGCCTAGTTCGTCACTAACACGGGTCGCATAGACTAGGCCTCGATAGGGGATTGTTTGGTCCAGTCTGGGTCTTTTCCATCATTTTCCCATTTCGCTTCTTCTCTTTCGTGTGTCTTGCTTTTTCATCGCTTTGGGGTCTTTTTGTTGGTCTCTTTCTGGTCTCTTTTTTCGGGGGCTTTTGCAATTTCATGTACATTTCCTTCCCTCTGGACAACTGAGAATTGTCCCAGTGTGACTATACCGCCCTCAAAAGTTCATCCGTCTGACATGCTGGCTGCCTCGACCTATTAAACACTCTATATTTCTCCTTTTGGTCCCAGATATCCAAAACACAATGGATTAGGACATGAGACTGGACTCTCTTTCTTTCATCTCGCTCTTTTTGTCACTCGTTTACTCCAGGTATGTGTTGGTATCAAATTGTTCGAAGCCCTCGATCTGTTTGCTTACATGGCGTGGGGCTGCAATGTGCTCCAATGGAATAAAATCCATACTAACTCCGCTTAGTCGTTTGTACGATTGCCATTCCCTCCACCTAACTGTGCGCCTTATATCAACATATTCTTGAGCTGCTATTCATGCTACGCTCTGATTGTTTCTGATTGTTGATCGCAACGTTTGGCTACGCTTCTGCCAGCATCCATTCATTCAATACTGTCAACCGGGTCATTCTTTTCCTCGGACGATCTATCAATCTTTCCATGCCAACTGTGCGCACGCTAGAACGTGTTTTTTTTTTTCTCTTTCGTTTACATTAACCTTATCGACCCCATTCTTCGCAATCCTGCGAAGCTCAACCTCTGTGAGGATCATACATACTTTGTTTTATTACTTTGTCGTGATATCTCATTGTATGCGATTGGCAATTGACCGTGGACGTGTATGGAAAAATTGTCAACATGGCTCATAGTCATCACCGTCACTCGCGCATCGGCAATCTAATTAGTGCTAGGCGCCGCCGGGAAGCCAAGCAGGATGAACAAAAGGTGGACTCAGATTTACTTGAGGGTGGTGCATTTCAAACCCCCATGCTCCCCGCTACTGATATACTTCCGGATGAAAATTGCGACTCGAAAGACTCTCTGTGTCTTGAACATGGTATGAACGAATCTGATACACTGCTCGAAAAGCGGGATGAGACGACCTCCGCCGACCCGACTAGTATCGAGACTGTATTGCAGATAGTCGATGCTAGCTCACAGGCACCCTTTCAGTCGACTGCTACCGACTTTCCGATGACGATATCGGATTCTGCGTACGCCACTGACACTCTACCGAGCTCGGATGTCTTGGCTGCGACTGCGACTGCGAGTGCAACTGCTGCTGCAACTGCTGCTGCGACTGTGGCTGCGAGTGTCTCTATAGATTTAGGGCTATTGACCTCGCCGACGACGTTGCCACTATCCGAGACGTCACTTTCAAGCAGCTTTACGAACTCCACTCAAACTTCTTCGACCACCTCCACAAACACCAGTGGACTTCCGTCAGCATCAAGATCTGCGTCAGCTACAGTCATCACTTCGCCTGCATGGACTTCGACTCGTCTCATTACTCATTCTAGCTCTACGCCCTCTGCTACGACAACATCATCCCAGGCGCACACTTACTGGTCATATTCCGGTTCTACCTCCGGCTCCAACTCCAGCTCCAGTTCCAGCTCCAGCTCATCGATGAGCTCGACCTCCAGCACAAACTATGCAACCTCTTCGTCAGATGTATATGGAGGCTCTGAGTCAACTAGCTCAGCAACTGGTGCCGGAACTGCGCCAACTGCAAGTGAGACGCATGTCTCGGGGCAGGGTTCGACAACCAATCCTAACACACCTAAAATCGTGGGCGGTGTAATAGGATCAGTTGCCGGTGTCGCTCTCATCATTCTTCTCCTATTTTATTACCTCCGCCGTCGAGGACTCTTTATGGGGAAAACGGGACGTCCAGCAATGTTAGGTGACGCAGCAGCTGGGGCTGGGGCTGGAGCAGCGGCTGGGTCTAGAGAAATTGTCGAACGACGCGAAAGTAACGATCCCCTCTTCACAGCCTCATACCTCGCCCCCGCATTCATGAAGCGCTGGCGCCAGTCAACGGCAACAGCCCGCTCTGGAAGCACCGCCGACTCTGCCCCCAGCGAACGCGGGTTCCAAAAGATTTCCGGCAGAAAGCTTCCTCCCGTCTTTACTCACGGTGGAGACGGATATGGCGGTGGACTGGACGGCGATTCTCCCACCGCACCAGGTTTCTCTGCCACCTCCCCAGCAACCGGGCCAATTGGATCGCCCTCTTTCTATGCTCCGCCCCCTACCTCCCAATTTGGCAGTCCCCTAGACTCCAACTTCACCCGTGAAGTTGAGGAGCCCACCCCACCGACACGGCCCAACCTCGTCCACCTTCCTATCTCCAACTCGGTTAACGTTGCCACTCCCATCACTGTCACCCCTGCCCACCCAGTTGCGCAACCCCAGAGTGCAATGCCCTGTGCACCGCCGCGGCCGGATGGGCTTGGCCGCAGCTTACATAGTTTCGATGGGAGTCGAAGCAGTCGATTTACTGAGGTGATTGATCAGTGATTGGCAATGTTGCAATGTGGGATATGTGAAATGATGGAAATGAAGTGATGGGTGGGGGCGCAAGCCCTCTGTTGTGACATCGGACTCCGGGGCTTGTCCCCGATCGTGCCTTATTTTTTTTTTTTTTTTTTGTTATTATTTTCTGTTCGATTCTACCTCTTTGTGCTGTTGTAAAAACGCATTTCCTGTCTTTCATTGTCATTTTGTTGATATATTCTTCTTTTCACTATTGATACCCCCCTTCTTCCTCTTTTCTTTCTTCTGCTCCTATTTTTCTCTTACTTCTTGTTCAAATTAGTTTCTCTTCACTATCTTCCCACTTAACTTTTAATTTTTGGATCGTTGTGGATATATTACTTTGCTCTCTTCGTATGACTAGGTGTATGAGTCAAGGCCTAAATAGTGTTAGCTCGGATACTCAGTGTAATGCAAAGTTATCGAGCTTCACATATGAAACGTTGTACATTTCCCATACGCATAGATGGCTCCTGGTAGAGACCTCGCTCGCATTTTGGACTTCTTACTCCAAGGTTGCCCAGGTGCTCGCCAACCGTGTAACACACCTTGCGAATCCCACTGTATGGCTATGCATGCTGACCACGTGGCAGAGCCGGTGAGGCTAATATTATTGCAGATCAATGTCATTTCTTGTAGGACCACTTCATCTGACATGAGACTTCCATCGTGTTGCCGTCTGAGACTAACTACTGCTGTAGTTGGATTAGATATTTCTTTCTAAATGTCTGACAAGTCGAAAGAGATGAGTTTCCTCTGATGCTTTTGCAAAACTAGGCGCCTCCAAAGAAAACGCTTGTCGGCTGTCAAATAGTCGAAGGGGAGGCCCAGCTTTGACGGCTTACATTTGGAACCAGGCGCAGGCGCAGGCGCAAGTACTCTTCAAACCTCGTGTCAAATGGGACTTTAAACATTAACCTCTTCTCAACTTTATCTACACTGACGCGTCCTGAGACCAGATTTGGGCTGTACTTCCTTTTACAGCCACTGTCGGTTCCCTAGATATTGTGTACGAGTACGAGTGCTTCTGCCTAGCTACTCAGAAGTCTTGTGGCAGCCTTTTCTCGGAGTGAGCTCACCTAGTATCATTGCCACCTATTGCACTGCCCTTCCATCATCAAGCTGGTGATGTTTCTTGCCTCCTAAGTCATACTCGAGCTCATGAGCTTCCCGTTATAGTATGAGGCGCACCGCCACATTTTTAACGCACCGCCACAAACACGCCACATGGAGATCTTCCATCCCTGTCTTCCACGCCTCCTTTCACCCGGAGACCCCATCATCAAGTTACCACGAAGTAACTACTCTGTATTATGTACAGCTTAGTGGCTCTCGAAATCAAATCATATCTGTGTGCCTTGATAGGCTCGGACAGCGGTGCCGCGTGCTTATGATGCGTACAGTCTAGCCGCTCATGAAGTGGACACCTACCCCGTCCGCAACAACCTAGAACACACACGATCAAGCCCCATGATGCAAAGAGATTCGTCTTTGCCTCCTTACTTGCGCCCATGTCCATGGTCAAACAATAATGCCAATACAAACACAATAAGTCGAGGTGAAAATATGCCCCAATGATTGGGTCCTCCGCGAGGCGCAGCAGTTGACCTAATCCACAATGACAAACCCAATTTGATCGCAACGCCATCACATTGGATACCTGAACTTGGCGTAACGCTATTCCACAACCGCTGATCTCAGAATTTAACTATGCATGTAGCATAGACATGAAGAAAACGGGGCTAGAGTTAGAGAAAAAGAAGCCCGGCGCTTACATTCCTCAGCTTTTTAGGGGTATGCCTATCAGGCTTCGCCGCCTTTAATAACAAGATACTACTCCTACATCACATCCCATACGGAGCTCCGTAGGTGCCCCCCGTTATTAACTGACAAACATTGCCGCTTGCAACCTTGGAAGGGGGCTGTGTTTTGTTCCCGGGGTAATAAGTGTCACATTCTGGCACCACTTGGAGAGTATATTTTACTTTTTTCGATCGCTCCAATTCTCTCAAGTGGAGATAATATATCCCTCTTATACTTGGCATTATTTGTTACAACCCTCGTTGCGGATTGCCAAAAAATTGACACTAAATCCTCGGCATATCTGGGCATCCTGGGTGGTACCCGTGGACACAGCCCCATTGAGAGGGGGAAAAAGATAACAAGGTCTCGCAACCCCGACGACACACGAGATAATCTCTTTGAGATCAGAGCGTATTTACATGAACATCTGCATGAGCTCCTTTTTAATTTGACTCGCATAATATTTTCGGAGCCCCGTGCGATCTGCACTCTATGTCTTCAAACAACGACTCCTCCCATCAGGGCTCACTGTTGAGTCCTGTTATAGTGACAGATTTTTCGGGCAGAGAGGTTGGTTACCCAAGCCATCCTATACACGCCTGAACTATTTCGCTGATCATCCCATTTTCTTTTTTTTTTCTTCATGCAGCGATCTATATCCACAGCCTCTTCCGCATGGTCAGGTCCTACAGATCTAAACCACAGCCCGACTTCACCTGTCTCACCTGATATGGCGTGGAATCCAGACCCAGCCCGTCTGATGGTCCACAATGCCTCGCATCGACCGTCACAGTCGATCGATGGCGATACTTTGCGTCCGCGGGCGGACTCATTCGCTTCTTCTGCAGATACTATGGTTCGCTCCCGGGCGAACTCCGAAGTAGACCCGGCCCATACTTCCAAAGATGTATACGACGATGTTTCGCTGGCGGATGCATTGAAACCGGATCCCCGGAATGAATCTGATTTTCAAGTGGAGGATAATCGGTTTGCGTTTTCTCCCGGTCAACTAAACAAAATGCAGAACCCAAAATCCTTGGCTGCATTCCATGCCCTTGGTGGATTGCAGGGTCTGGAGCGCGGTCTGCGAACAGATTTAAATGCCGGTTTGTCAATAGATGAAGGGCGTCTGGAGGGTAAGGTCGAGTTCCAGGATGTGGCACCTTCGGCACAACACACATCTACTGGGAAATCTCCATCAAAGCCTGTCACTTCGACGCCGGTGCCGGCGTCATCTGGTAGTGGCTCACCCTTCGAAGACCGCATTCGTGTCTTCAGTCGGAACAAACTACCCGCTCGGAAATCAACCGGGTTCCTAAAATTATTTTGGGCTGCTTACAACGACAAAATCATTATATTATTGACTATCGCCGCCGTGGTCTCACTATCCCTGGGGATATACGAGACCGTGTCAGAAGGCTCAGGCGTCGACTGGGTGGAAGGTGTCGCCATCTGCGTGGCAATTTTGATTGTCACAGTGGTCACAGCTGCGAACGATTGGCAAAAAGAGAGACAATTTGCCAAACTCAACAAAAGGGCAAGTCTTTCCCCTATCAATCTGGAGAGTCAAAACAGCTAACATCCCAACAGAACGATGACCGTGAAGTCAAAGTAACCCGCTCGGGCAAAACCGATATGCTTTCAATCTACGATATTATGGTCGGCGATATCCTCCATCTCGAGGCAGGTGATTCCATCCCCGCGGATGGCATACTGGTTTCAGGCTACGGCGTGAAGTGCGATGAGTCTTCCGCTACCGGCGAGTCGGATCAAATGAAGAAGACGCCCGGTCATGAAGTCTGGCAGCAGATTGTCGACGGCAAGGCAACCAAGAAGCTCGACCCGTTCCTGATTTCCGGTAGTAAGGTTCTCGAAGGTGTGGGAACTTATGTTGTCACCAGTGTTGGACCTTATTCTACCTATGGACGGATACTGTTGTCGCTACAAACCCCCAATGACCCAACGCCGCTTCAGGTCAAGCTGGGTAAGCTGGCGGATTGGATTGGATATTTAGGTACAGCGTGAGTTGACATTTCTTACTTCCTACTTTTGTGACGGGTTACTGATAATAATTTGCAGAGCTGCTGGCATCCTGTTCTTCGTTCTGCTCTTCCGATTTGTAGCCGACCTTCCTAATCACCCGGAAAGGAACGGTGCTATGAAAGGCAAAGAGTTTGTGGATATTCTTATTGTTGCTGTCACGGTTATTGTAGTCGCTATTCCAGGTAAGCGCTGGTGTTTCGCACAATTATTTGAACTATACTAATATTCATGTTCTTTGCTAGAGGGTCTTCCATTGGCCGTAACGCTAGCTTTGGCCTTTGCTACTACCCGAATGGTCAAGGAGAACAACCTCGTCCGTGTCCTTCGTGCATGCGAGACCATGGGAAATGCTACTGTCATTTGCTCTGATAAAACCGGTACATTGACACAGAACAAAATGACTGTTGTAGCCGGAACCTGGGGCTCGGATCAAGACTTCAGCCAGAGAACCGAAGACGAAGATGTGGAGGGTTCAATGACTACTTCCGAGGCTTCCCAGAAATTATCGCCTCCCATTAAGGATTTGATCATCAAGAGCATCGCTTTGAACTCGACTGCCTTTGAACAGGAAAAAGACGGCTCTATTGATTTTGTCGGTAGCAAGACTGAAGTGGCGATGCTTCAGTTAGCCCGAGATTATATGGGCATGGATATCGTCTCGGAGCGTGGCTCCGCTGAGATTGTCCAATTGATTCCTTTCGACTCCGCCAGAAAATGCATGGGTGTTATTTACCGTGTTCCTGGTGTTGGCTACCGACTGCTTGTCAAGGGAGCGTCCGAATTGATGGTCGGTGCTTGCACCACGGAAATTGTCAACATTGATATGTCCAAAGAGAGACCCGATGTGGAGTATCTTTCTGAGGCACAGAAGAAGAACCTCCTGGAGATCATTGACAATTATGCTCACAAGTCTCTTCGGACAATTGGCATGGTCTACAAGGACTTCGCAACCTGGCCCCCGACGGAAGCTAAACATTCTGAAGATGCATCGGCGAACTTTGAGGATTTCTTCCATGATATGACCTGGGTCGGAGTTGTGGGTATCCAAGACCCTCTTCGTCCTGAAGTCCCGTCAGCCATTCGTAAATGCCACTCAGCAGGCGTCCAGGTCAAGATGGTGACTGGCGACAACGTTGCCACTGCCACCGCCATTGCAACTTCTTGTGGAATCAAGACGGAAGATGGATTGGTTATGGAAGGTCCTAAGTTCCGTCAACTCACAAACGCGGAGATGGATGAAGTGGTTCCGCGCCTGCAAGTGCTGGCACGATCATCTCCCGAGGACAAGCGGATCTTGGTCGAACGGCTCAAGGCCCTCGGTGAAACGGTCGCTGTCACAGGTGATGGTACTAATGATGGCCCGGCTTTGCGCACTGCAGATGTTGGCTTCTCTATGGGCATTGCTGGTACTGAGGTCGCTAAGGAGGCGAGTTCGATTATTCTCCTGGATGATAATTTCAAGTCCATTATCACGGCGATCTCCTGGGGACGAGCTGTCAATGATGCCGTCGCCAAGTTTTTGCAATTCCAGGTCACGGTCAATATCACGGCTGTGATACTCACTTTCGTGTCATCTGTTTACAGCAGTGAGAACGCAAGCGTTTTGACTGCTGTGCAGCTGCTCTGGGTGAACCTTATTATGGATACCTTCGCCGCTCTCGCCTTGTGAGTTATTCTGCTCGTTCTTTTATTTTTTGCTTGGACTTCTTACTAACATTCTGGAAAAACAGAGCTACGGATGCCCCGACTGAACAAATTCTCGACCGCAAACCTGTCCCCAAACACGCCTCCCTCTTCACCTTGACCATGTGGAAGATGATTCTCGGCCAAGCTATATACCAGCTAGCCATCACATTCATGCTGTATTTCGCAGGCGACAAGCTCCTCAGTGCCCATCTCAGCTCCGAACCCGAGCTGCGCGCGAAGCAGCTCGCCACCGTGGTGTTCAACACGTTCGTGTGGATGCAGATCTTCAACGAATTCAACAACCGTCGCCTCGACAATAAGTTCAATATCTTCGAAGGCATGTTCCGCAACTACTGGTTCCTAGGAATCAACGCCATCATGATCGGCGGTCAAATCATGATCGTCTACGTGGGCGGCCAGGCCTTCAACGTGACTCGCTTGAGCGGCACCCTCTGGGGTGTTTGTATTATCTGTTCTATTGCTTGCTTGCCCTGGGCTATCGTGCTCCGACTTATCCCAGACTACCACTTCGGGCTTGTCTTTAATGCCATTGTTGGCGGCATGGCTATTGTTTTGCGCCCTCTTTCTAAAGGGTTCAAGGTAATTGGTCGTGGTATCAGGTCCTTCTTTAGGCCTGTGAAGCGTTTCACTCTCCGTGTCGTCAACAAGGGGAAGTCAGAAGACGATGTCGAGTTGAACGCACAGCCCACAGACTCTGATGATCCCGAACAAGCTCCTGAGAGCCTTGAACCGAGCAAGCAAAAGGCCTCTCCTGAGCGTCCTACCACGCCTCCTCATGTCGTGGTTCCTCCTATCACAATTACGACCTCTCCTTAGTTGTCATTTTAGCGTTGGTGTTTTTGGTATTTGGTTGGCTGTTTGATATTTTATTGTTATGCTATTTGTATATAAAGAACTGGGTTTGATAGAAGATGTGTATATATCCCCATCAAAAAACGATATTTCTGCATTATTCATGAAAATTTACTTCTCTCCACATGGAAAATCCCGAGCAACCCAGTAGCGTATTTACTCAGAATACTCAATATTAAAGACCCAAGAGCCTCCAGACAACTGGGTTCAAGTCAGTATATTTCTGCCTCAGGCCCCAACACCCCGTCTACCAAGTGTCCAGCTCCATCTCCCGTGGACTCCCCGATTGACTCCGCATTGCCCTGTCGACTCGCCTTGTGATTTATCTGTGATCAGTTAATCTGATCTCTGTCTCTATCAAACATACTCTGGTCTTTTATTCTATCCCCATTGGATCTCATACCATTCGGAGACGTTCCCACGTCACTAATCTCCCCGCTTCCGCCCACCGCACCGATATACCAAACGGATCAACAGGCAGCTCAAAGCTCCCTCAACACCAAACCCACTCAACAGGCTTGGCCACCAACTTGATCAAGACCTATTTCCCCTATATTTCCGCACTCAATCAAGGCCCAACCGCCACCATGTCGCAAATCAACTACCGCACCATCAACATTGACGCCTTGGACCCCGAGTCCTCGGCCAACTTCCCCATGGAATCCCTCCTCCCCGCCACACTCCCCCAAGCCGCAAGCGCCAGTGATGCCGCCAATGCTGCGACACAGGTGCGCCAGATGCTGCGCGGCGGTGACCCAGAGGGTGCTCTGCGGACTGTCCTCGACACGGCGCCGCTGGGCGGCGACGACCGCGCCAAGGAGGTGCATCTTGCTACCGTCATCGATGTGCTGCAGGGTATCCGCCAGGGCGAGATGACCCGCATTCTGGAGGGCGTGTGCAGCGGGGATGGCGGGGCTGAGCGGGCCGATTGCTTGATGAAGTACCTGTATGTGGAACTACTATTTCATTGCCAGGAGAGGAATCATCTGGTGGAAAGTCGTAGATTTGATTGCTGATTTATTTCTTACAGGTACAAGGGAATGTCCTCGGCTGCTCCTGGTAGCGGTGCCCAGTCGCCGAAGAAGTCGGTTTCGCCTCAGGATACAGGCTTCTCCCAGATCCAGGCTCGCAACTTGGGTGAAGGTGGTGGTGGTCAGCAGATGAGCGTTTTGCTGAGCTGGCACGAGAGACTTGTGGAGATTGCTGGTACTGGTTCGATTGTGCGGGTCATGACTGATCGTAGGACGGTTTGAGCGGAGAAAACAGCATCGGATGGAGGTTCGTTTCTTATGATTTACATTCTGACTGTTTTTTTTTTGTTCTCATCTTCTTGGTAGAGGCTTGGTTTGCATTCCATACATCTGTGGATGATATCTCTCCAGTGTCGCTTTAAGCGTAGTTTTACATTATTATACTGTGACAAAATGTTGGGCTCTTTCTCTTTGCCCTTTTGTTTCCATTCTTCATGGTTTATCAAGGTCACCGCCCTCAAGGACATCCTTAAGGTTAATATCACCGCTGCCACGCTGCAACGGCTGCGACTGACCCTCGCCTTCCTTCCATCCAATCATATAGATCAATCGGAACGTGGCCGGGATACCACGTGCACCTTCCTCCATATGCAGGGAACGATATATAGCCTCATTAGCCAGCAAGACATCCCGCGAAAGTGGTGCCGAGTCACGGTTCATGATTGCGTTACCCTCACCCATCGCCTGCAAATCCTGCATAAGCGCAAAGGTATCCGGGAACTCGACCACAATATCTTCAACATCAACAGTAAGCATCTTGAACCCAGTGCGGCCCAACAAGCTTCCGATATCCTTGACATCCGCCAGAGGTGACACATGCGGACTCACACCACCGCGCCGCTCCATATCAGCCAGCTGCAGCGATCCGCGCAGCTCGTACAACGTATCGCCACCAAACATGGCTGCGATAAACGGCGCATCGGGCTTCAGTATTGTGTTCACCTGTTCCAGGAGCGCGGGCAGGTCATTGATCCAGTGGATCGAGAGCGACGAGAGCACGGCGTCGAAGCTGTTCGGTGCGTACGGCAACGTCTCCAAGTCCGGAATTACATCCCGCTGGATGTTGATCTCCTTGTTAAACGGATCGTCCTCGTCGCGGTGGAGCAGCGCGCGCGATGTCTCCACGCATGTCAGCTTCGAGATCTTTTTCGAGAGTGGTGGTGTGATGGTTCCTTCCGGCATGATTGAGTCGATATTGGGGGATGTGAGAGCTCGGGCGATGTTGCAACTGTTTGCGCCTAGATCTAGGACGTTTGGGAAGTCACGTTTAATGTCCTATTCACAGCGAGAGAAGCTCTTGTTAGTGGATGTGTCTTTTTTCTTCTTCTGCACTTGTTTTCTGTGCCTGAGTCGTTCAATGGCTTACCAGTAAGCGCTCACATAGCCGCATTGCTACTTCATCTTTCAGGTAATCGACTTTTCGACTCTCTTCGACATTCCGGCCTGCCCGATCTTTTTGGAGGTGCTTGACTTTGCGGTTGAAGACCTCGAGCATTGGGTTACCGGGCGTCTGGCTGGCATATTTTCGGATAGTAGTTGTTGGGGTAAAGCATCGCCTTGAGAGGCTGGCACGAAATGTCTGTAGAGGTATCATTGTGGCTGTAGAATGGATATGGAGGATTCTAAACACTCAAGCATGCAAGTCCATGGTTTTGCGGCGATGGCGGGCAGAAAATGGCGGGATCTGACGTCGATTGTTGATGCGGAAGAGCTCCCTCTCCGCAGACCGTGGACTTCTTGCAATTGGTGTTTTTGATACACTAGACTCGGTATCAATTTTAATTTTAAAGTTGTGCATATTTTTCATCTTGTGCATAGTGCATTGAGCGTGGCAGAGCCATTACGACCCCTGCTCGAATACGTCCCCACGCGCCAACACGCTCCTCTCAGGGTCTCTGATTAGGCGCAACAAGGCCGGGATCCTGAAAATTAAGATATCTTCACTCGAAAAGACAAGCCATCCTATAGCTACCAATCTGCTATACGACAGCCTGTTTACTCCATCACGCTATTTGGCCCTCGACCCCCGCAGAGACGAAGCATGATTTGATCCGAGTGCACGCCTCGAAAGTTACCACACACCATCTCGCTCGCCCCTCCATATCAAAATGTCGCGTCCTTTCCCATATACCTACATATCATGCCCCTGCGCCGACACCCCGGTCCCTGACCCAGCCAGGAAGCGGAGGTCAAGGGAGTCCCCGCAGAAATCGCCGCAGAAACCACCCCCGAGCGGGCGGACACAGATCAAGACAAGAAATTGTCGGCAAAAGAGGAACAACAAGAAGAGGATGAGGATGAGGAGCAAACCTTTGATCCCCGCTCTCCGCGATCCAACTTCTCGCTGTATCCGCCTGAACAGCTTCTCTACTGCGAGGAGTGCCACCAGATCAAATGCCCCCGATGTATTACAGAGGAGATTGTGAGCTGGTATTGTCCTAGCTGCTTGTTTGAAACGCCGAGTAGTATGGTGCGGAGTGATGGTAATCGGTATGTACTAGGTGGTGTGAACGGTTGTGTTCAAGTATCCGCTAACATGCACCCATCTATAGATGTGGCCGGAATTGCTTCAATTGTCCTGTTTGTACAGCTCCCCTGGCTGTGAGTACCATTGAGAATGCTACAGGAAACGGGCCCCAACAGGGTCCGTGGGTGTTGTCTTGCGGATACTGTCTTTGGACAACGCTAGACATCGGCATCAAATTTGATAAGCCGACAAATATCCGTAGTCAACTGCAAAAGATGACAGATTCCACTCCCCCGGCTGCCCACGACCGCTCGAGGCAAGCTTCTCGTACTTTCGGAGATCTGAAACATCCATTGTCTAGCTTCGCCTCGGCTGACGAGCAATCCAATGCGCGTGAGCATGATGGAGAGCAAGCTGCGCCAAAAGAAGATCCGGCTGCACCTCCAATGGGCACCGATGCCCGGTTCGCAGCCCTGAAAAACTTTTACCGTACACAGATCGCCGAGACATCAAACTCGCCAAATGACCACCTTAGCTCAGAATTTGGGTTCTCATCGCCCGGCGCCCTAAACCGGCTCATGTCTCTCTACACATCCTCGTCGCGTCTAAGCGGGCTATATGGCGGCAACAAGAAGCCCAAATCCAAGCCACCTGTTATGCGCGAAGCCCTGACTGCAAGCGAGGGCCTTCAGGTCGCCCTAGAAAACAACGAGACGGACATGATTGCACGACTCCAGTCTCCAGAATGTGGCTGGGATGGTGTGGCCTCGATAGACCAGCGCGCAACCCAATCACCGGACGCCCGCTTCGTCGACGATCTCCTCCCACTCCCAGTCCTCCTCCGCACCAAACGAGCAAAGCGCTGCAAGTCCTGCAAGCACATCCTCGTGAAGCCCGAGAGCAAGCCGCAATCTACCCGCTTCCGCATCCGCCTCATTGCTCTCAGCTACATCCCCCTCCCAACCCTCCGCCCTCTAGCCCCCTCTTCCTCGTCAGCGCTCCCAGCTATGGCCCCAACCTCCGACCTCAACTCCCTCCCACCCCTACGCCCAATCCACGTCCTTCTTACCCTAAAAAATCACATGTTCGACCCTGTCCGCATCACCCTCGCCACACCTCCCGTAACCCCAGGCCACGTTGCAACGAAAGTCACAGTTCTCTCTCCGCAGTTCGAGATTGGCGCGAACAGCGATGTCTGGGACGAGGCGTTGCAGGGCGGCTCTGCACCTTTAACGAGTGACTCCCGGTCCGCAGTTCTACGCGGAGTCCCCGAGGCAGGCAAGGTCTGGGATAAGGGCCGGAACTGGACGACCGTTGTGTTGGAGGTTGTCCCTGGTACGTTGCCAGGGAGTAGTGCTGAAGGTGGTGAAGATACCGAGGCTAATGACGAGGATGTATTGGCGGTTGCGGCTTCTAAGCAGGATGAGGATGTGCTTGAGATTCCGGTCTTCGTGCATATGGACTGGGATGCGGATGCGCAGCTTGATCAGCAGAATGTTGGGAAGGGATCTAAGCCTGACGATAAGGTTACCAGAGAGTTGGCTTATTGGATGGTGCTTGGTGTGGGGAGAATTCAGGCTTCGTTGTAGACAAATAGGGGATTGTCATCGTCTTGTTCATATTCGCGTCGAGTGGTTTGCGTTTTATGCCTTTCATACCCAGAGTGTACTTGGTTTTTTTTTCCTCCGTTCATAGAAGCATGCACATACTATTTATTGTCCAGCGAGCTTTCGATTTGATACTGCCAGGTAAAACATAACAGTAGAACGTGGGCTACTTGACTTAACCATGGAGATATCAACAATTATATCTGGAGGTCCATGGGCAATCAATCTTATAATCTACAAGCAGGACTAGATCCCAATCCCAGCCAGACAAAACCATCTAAAGAAAAAGTAATGAAAAGTCGGAATTGTTGAATTGGAATACTATCAGATATTCCATCCCACCTTCATTAGATCGGGAGATAGAGAGAGAACTCAACTCCATCGCCTCACCCAGAGCTCACACCGGATACAAAAACCAATGCAACCAGTGACTGGGGGCAAAAAAAGAAAAGAGAAAAAACCGTCAATGCATTTTTTATGGAGATCATCTCTTTGGAACCCATCAATGGCGTTGAATCCAGCAACAATTCAAAACTAGAAACAATGCCATTCTCCCACGCATCAACCGAGCACATTCCAAGCCCCTAGCCCCAAAAAAAGTCAAAGTGAACAATGAATTCTAAATGTGCATTTAGAACTCAGCGCCGCTCTGGGGGAACTCGAAGGCAACGGAGCGGCCGGTGAGGCGACGGTAGACCTCGCCGTAGGCATCGAGGCGGTGGTCGACACCACCACGCTCCTTCTCGTCGAGGATGACCTTGAGGGTCTTGGAGCCGTCCTCCTTGGTGCGGGTGCGCTTGCCGACAATCTCGACGGGGTAGACGAGGTCGGAGAGGATGGAGTCGTGGACAGCGGTCAGAGTGCGCGAGCGGGGGCGCTTCTGGGTCTGGGTGGTGCGCGAGTTGGCGGAGCGCTTGGGGCGGGGCAGGATGCGGCGCTGAGCCACGAAGAGAACGTGGCGGTCGGAGAACTTCTTCTCGAGCTCGCGGGTAAGACTGGATTGGTGTTAGTTCTCGGGTTGTTCTTATTTGGAGTGGGCTTTTTTTTTTTTGTTGGCCCGTTCGTGTTGGAAGGGCTGGTGGTTGCTTACCGCTGCTGGATCTTGTGGAAGTTGTTCAGGAGGGGGACGGGGACGAAGACAATGATGGCCTTCTTGCCGTGGCCGACCTCAACCTAAATAGCGAGAATAATGTCAGAGCGTTGTCCGGTTCAAAGTGTCGGGCACACAGAAACAGAACTCCTCCTGGAATGGCGTCTTGCTCTGCAAATTTTCATGTCCATTTGTATTCTGCCTCCTTTGCTGATGATTCCTCTCCATGTTGGTGATTTTTTGGCGTTGGTGGATATGAATTGAAATCAATCCACAAATCCGACCAATATACCCCGGAGCATCGAAAATCCCTCGAAAATTCACAGACGCCATTCCAGAACGATTCAATTCGCATGTCGGGAGCCTCGGGCAACAATTCTTACCTCGCGGGCAGAGACGAACTGCAGGGGACGAAGGCTGGCCTTCAGGTCCTGTGTGTTGCTCTCGAGGTCGAAGAGAGCGCCGGCGATCGCGGTCTCCAGCTCGGAGGGGTTCTGCCGGGACGGCGAGTTGGGGGCGATCTTGTTGATGGCAGCCATTATTGCGAGCGACGGGGTGCTGCGGGAAGTGCTGGTGGTGATGTCGACGGAGGGGAGGTTCGCAGATTGAATCGAATGGGAATTTGCTGTGGGATCGGCGCATTCGCTTAGGGTGCGCTATTTCCTGTTTTAGTTTAGCGTGGCCGTCTTAGGGCTCATTGCTGGTTGGTGGATTGCCGCTAAAGGGGATCCACTATCCGACTCGCCTTTGGTTGGCAACTACCCCAGGACCTTTTTTTGACCATAGTGTTCTATTCTTCATTATGTAGGTACGCTAGAGATGAATTTCTGGTTGCTGATGCAAATTTCAAACACTTTACACTCTAATCACATTGTTGAAACGAGGTGTTTCTCGGGGAATAGCACACTGTGGACTATAAGAGCACACGGAGTCTCCACTGGAGCTGGAACAAGCAAGAAATGAAAGGGGAAAGAAAGCAAGAGGGACGCCTGTATCCATGGAAATAATTGCAAGAACATCTGCCAAAAAGAAAAAGAAAGACCCGAATTAACAAGCACAGCCCTCCTTAGCCGTAGCAGCGTTTCGATCACCCAGGTTGACTCGTGCGTCTTCTGTTGACCGATTACCCAACGAAGTCTGGCCAGTTCCCGCACCGGTACCGCGACCAGTCTTCAGACTGCTCTCTGGGATGGCATTGGCAATTGCCGTGAAGACATCCACAACATTGGTTCCGGTTTTGGCACTAGTCTCGAAGAACAAAAGACCCTCCTCCTCCGCATATCCAGTGGCCTCCCGTGTCGACACCTTGCGGGCATCGCCAGATTCAGTATCCTGCACATCATCTTGCTCATCGCCGCCTTCATCGCCATCCTGGGCCGAATCAGACTCGCTTTGTGCAGCGCCGGCGGCCTCGGAAACATCTCCTCCATCATTGGTCAAGTCCAGCTTGTTACCGACGAGGGCAATGACAATTCCAGGGCTCGCTTGGCGCTGGAGCTCGGCGACCCAGTGCTTGGCCTTTGTCAGCGAAGAGGGTTTCGTAACGTCGTAGACAACAAGCGCCGCTTGCGCGTTGCGGTAGTACATCGGGGCGAGCGAAGCGAACCGCTCCTGGCCGGCGGTATCCCAGATCTCGAACTTGATCGTGCGCGTAGGAAGGGAACATTTTTGCGTCAGAAATGCGGCTAGAAAGATGACGTTAGTTGGTCATCCTAGTGCAAAGTACTATTTGAGGGGCTGGAGTGGCCCGTTTGCGGGGACACAACTCAATTTTGAACACAATACACTGCTCCTGGGTTCTCCAGAAAGTATATCATCTGCCAGGAACAGCACCTCGTATCTTGTGGGGGCTAGGTCCATGGGGAAATCTTACCGCCAATGGTTGGTTCCTTGTTCTCCTGGAAATCATCGTTGACGAAGCGAAGGACAAGTGATGACTGAGCGAATAACACGAAGTGATTAGCTATTGATATTCGTGTAACATGGTGAATGGAGGAGTAGTACCTTGCCCACTGCGGCCTCTCCGAGCAGCACAAGCTTGACACTGCTACTCGGCTTCGGGGCATTTGCGCTCGCTGATTCGGACATGGCTGAGACAACAAAACAACAGTGAGATTGAAGTAACCACAAGTCGGGCCTTCTGTAGGTTATTCACCTTCGATCGATCAGCGATCAGGCGACCGGATGAGGTGGCAGGTTGATTCAGCTGGTGACCTCAGTTCGGGGAATGGGGCTGCCTAGAAGTAAGACAGGAGCTCGGAAACAAGTCGCTGCTCTTGCGCTCGTATTGGTAAATTAATTCAATCCTTGTCAAGGAATGAGAAATGCAAAGTGTAGTATAGACGTTCCTGAGACAATAGTGATTGATCCTGAAGTTGGAGAGGCGGAGGTGGATGATGATGACGGGTGCCTCGATTGGGATTAGCGCAGTCGTCAGTCACCAGTCACGGGAAGCCCGCCTGTTGAAGTATACAACTGACATACTTAGTATGTTTGCATTTGCATTGCTCATACTTCTATGGATGCTACATTTCCCTCTCGTATCTATTTAAAGAGACTGACATAAGAGCTAAATTGGATGCTCTAGGATCATCTCCTGCATTATTGATATTCACATCATTGGATACACTGCACCGATGACATGCAGATAACATGGACATGGCTGTCGGGATATGAAGACTTGGAAAGAATGAACCCAAAGACAGGTACTATGACTTGAATAAAGGCAGGCTACCGCGGGGCAAACATGTTCCTGGCACCTGGACAACCGTCGCAGATTGGACTAGTGCCCAACTGGCCTGCACGATGATGTCGGGCTCCATTTAGGAAAGACCCTGGTCAGGCTCGGGAGATATCTGCCGATGCACCAGCCAGGCCCGTATCAAGAATCGGGCTGTCGTTCCTGTCTCGGCATTAGTCGGCAAGCAAATCTGCCCGATACTAGCGCAACCGCGGTCGGTCAGGTACCAGCGGAGTGCGACGTGAGATGGGTACGAGTTTGCAAACTCGAGGTTACAAAATGCATCTACAAATGTACAGGAAGCCGTCGATAGTGGTCTAGACTAGCTGGATGGAGAATGTAGAGAAAAAATAATAGTGATCCATTAGCGCTGATAATTATGGTGTGCGCAAAATATAATACACGGGCATCAACGTCAACAATAAATGGTACAAATACTCATACAAATAAACCCGGGAGCAGTACCCATCCAATAGTAAAACAAGAAAAAAACAATCAAAGCATGCTATTGACCCTGAGGTCGAGGCTCTAGATTTTGGTATCAGCCCATCCCAATCAATATTCCGTCCCGTCTATGCCAAAACGCCGGTAGATAACGAGAAACAAATGAAATGGAAACAAATAAACACAAAGGCACTTTTTGAGATGGGGACCGTGGTATCGAATCGTATCAGAGAAGTAGAACGTGAGGTGAGGCGGAATAAGGTTTTGAGGCCCGAAAAATAAGGATAAGGCGCATGTGCGAAGACGAGAGATGAAAGGTCGAAAAAGAGAGAGAAAAAAGTTGTCAACGCTTGGTATCCGAAAAGAGAATGCTGAAGGCAGAAAGTCGAGCCAAATTAAAAAGGGTATAATGTCGCGCGATGCCTGTAGCGAATAGGCAAGAAGAATGTATGGCCCGTGATGAGGACAAGAAAAAAGAAAGATAGTGTTACAGATATCTAAGAATTCGGTTAGTTTGGATGCCCAAAGGTGTGTGCTCGGAGTTGACATGTCTTACCAAAATCAAGTAAAACTCCAAAACGCATATGCGTCAAAAACTCCAGGCACTGTTGGGCGCCAGACCATACGAAACATGACCGAGTGGTGTAGAGAGCAATGTTGAGTATGACGAGGGTATTTCCGAATGGATTTATTTCGGTGGTGGTGGAGGAACACCGGGCTTCTTCACCCCAGTCGTGTCGTAAGCTCCTCTTCCCATGTTGAAAGCAGATAGGTCCCGAAGGATCATATTAAGGTCTGCGGAGGAAGTCATGGTTAGATGCTGAAAGTAGGAATTTTTGGGTTGTTGTGTGATAGAAATAGGCGAGTGATTTGCGAATGCGCCAATGACAGGGTGAGGAATGAGATGAGATAGTGAGAGACTTACCAAGTAAACACGACGTCGACGCCAGGATCTTATATAGATTTGGGAAACAAGCAGACAAACGAAGAAGTCCCAATCCAACCACCCGTAAAAATCGTTTTTCTTTTTTTTTAAAAAAAAAAAAAAAAGATCTAGACAAAAGAACCGGTGCAGGCGATAGATGCAAATGCAGTCCGGATCGGAAAAGTTGGTCCTTTTGTAGAATCACCACTGGGATAAGGCGGGATCCAACAGAATCGTAGGGCAGGAATGTGACGAAATGAGCCCAACAAATGAGAATGGAGTGTCTGGTGGGAAAAAGCAAGATGATGGACAGGTCGCAGCTCGTTGCTTTTTATGAGTGGTAGAGATGGAATAAATCAAGGAATAAATCGAATTCTCAAAATGATATGCGCGAGGGTGGCTGCAGCGAATCCATAAAAATCGCGATCCGAACGAAGAAAACGGGCAGAAGGGATATGAGGTTTAATACGGCAAGGGAGCAAAGGAGGAAGTGCTCCGGAACTGGCTCCGGTCGATCCGAACAAAGTTCAAATCGACGTATCGCAAGGGAGAAGGGAGAGGAAAGGAGGGCGGTAGGGGGGTGGATGTGTAGAAAGATGGTTATCAAGTATGTTGAAAAGGAAATAGGAAGGGGGATTTACGTTGATATAGACGGTTTTTTCTGAGCATTGGGTTTTAAATTTAAATTTATCCTTTTTTATCCTTTTTTATTAGAAAATCAATAAAGGCCTGAAAATCAAATCAGAAAATAAAATAAAATAAAATCCAAATATACAATAATTAAAATAAAATCTCCAAAAAAATGTTATATATTATATATATTATATATTTATCTTTATCAGATATTTTTCTATTGGATTTTTCTTTGTTTAGTACAGCGGCTCTCCCGTCCCCTGGTCCCGGGGAACAGGAACGCGAAATGTTCCCCCTTTCTTCTCCAACGTTTCTAATCTATACGCTTACCTGTTTAGTCGGTTTTAGGCCAAATATGTTATTAAAATAAAATGAATACATCAATTTAAAAAAGGTACCCTCTGATTCATCACAAGTACATCTGAGATACATCTAACCCATGTCTTCACTACTGTCAAGTCCAAAAGTCCAAAACTCTCCGCTATTATGTATCAACTAGCCGTAGAAGCTCTCCACTATAAAGCTAGGAACCAAATCTCCGGGCAGCCTTTGTGCATAAGTGGAGCCCAAAAAAAGGGAAAAACAGCCGCAGGAACGAGAAACGGATCCCTCCGAACAATTTATTTTTTGCTAATTTTTCTTTTCTCGCGTGGTAAGTCTCCATTGGGGTTGCTAGTTTCCTACAATAGTATTAGACCCAAAAAAAGAAGCAAGATACTCACAACTCTAATAACCAAGGGGGATGACATATGATGCCTAGGTAGGTAATCCCCTAGCCAACCTACGGAGTACCGATCCCAGGTATTTCGGCTATTAATTAAGGCCATCCGTTCTTTCACGCGGTCTCCCGTGCAATAACTCACCTAGTCAGATCAGTCGCAAATTTTGAATCAAGTCTCGGAAGTTGTAGAATCAATCCCCCGTCAATTTGCCTACAATTTACAATTCACAAGACACAAGACAGATCAGAAGTCAATTCAACATCTCGTAATTTGGACATCATTCCCGTCGGCTTTGTCTGATTCTTTACGCGCTGATCAAGAAAGAAGAAGAGAGAGA